CGATTCAGAAATAACACAAACTTTGGTGTTCGTCTTGATGGATACTACACATTCGCAAATATCTCGTCGAATAATTTCACAAATAATATGGCACGGCCAAACGGAGGGATCGTTGAGTTGCGCGGAATGGAGAAACATTTAATTTTTGAACGAAATCGATTGTTTGATAATTGGGTGAGTGCACTCTTCCTTTTAGATACTTTTTGATAGCAGCTATCTTCTGCGTTCCATATGAATGACTTATTAGCCAAACGAGTACCTCATCACCATATCGCTTCGAGAATTTCCAAATTTCAATCATTCTATCATTCCATGTCGAGAGACAAATTCATGATCAACACTGAAAAGTGATTGCAAATCACATTACAACTGCCCCTTATCTCAAGATTCGATGATTCGGTGAACTTTTGGTATGTGATTAATTGATCGGATCTCTCATTTACATTATCTCTAATACATCTTCAGGGTATGTGGATGCTGAAGATGGATATACAGTCGCAATCGTTGCGCGGTACAGTACCAGCTTTAATACAGTACAATTACTTTCTGAGGAATCACTTCATTAGTACGAGTGGTGATTATGTGGATTCATGGCCGCGCTCTTTTACGGTTGGCGTTTTCGGAGCTCAGCTGGCTGATNCGAGCTAGTTTCTGGATGCAAGGTTTGTTTGCCACTCTGAACATCCTTGATCTATCAGCTATTGAAATCAATTCAATACATTAGTTCATTCAGGGCGAAAATCCAATGAAATTCCATTATAAATTCATCATCTAATAGGTTGCGAGTGTATTCTCGTATGTACTATAAGACATACCTGGTTCACGAAAGAAGCGCGAAAGAAATGCTTGTAATTCTTCTATTTGTGCACGGCTTTCTGATATTATTCATTCGAAAATATTCACATTTCAACAGAAAATAATTCTGTTTTCAGAGTGCCGAAGTCGACGATAGAATGAATGTGACATTGAACTGGTGGGGTATGGGTAATGAGGCGCAAATAGCACAGCGAATCTTCGATTTTGATGATTGGAATATTTACACATTGGCTGAATACAGCCCCTATTTTGTTGCCGACGAACAATTCATCCACTTTTGGTGGAAACCACAAACGGTTAACTACTTGTTTTACTATCAAATGTCAGTCAGATTGACTCAAAGTTAAATACTGTTTCACCGGAGCTGTCCTAGCTGAGCTTTACCGCTGAATTGTTCGTGGATTTACCAGGACAATATGATAGAAAAGTTTGGTCGTTTCGTCGGCCAACATTTGGGGAATCTCACTGAAATTTCACTGTAAAGTTCGATTAGAAACAAAGTTCTTGGATTCACTATCGTGAAAATGCCACATAAATCGATATATTATAATCGTCCGTATTTCTACTCGATCAAACCGAATCAGTCTCATCCTCTGATCATTTCTCAATCA